CTGTGACACTATTGTTTAAAAACGGTCCGGGTGTTGAACCTGTTTTGAGTCCAAAACATAAGTGTATTATATAACTTTTTATTGTTATTCACAGCTGTTTTAAACTTGGGACTATATGTGACACATATCAGAAAAAGTAGTATAATAAATATATATTTATTTTATTAACTACCATTAAGAATACAAAAACAGATCAAAGAGCTGTTTAACTTATCTTTTTTGAAGTAGTTTTTCCGATATGAAAGATGACAAAGCCTAACATGTTTTGTGGTGTTTCTTTGCATATTATTTAACGTTGTATAACCAAAAGGAAACTGCCAAGAGAATGGAATTTTCTTTCATGTGCATTTTGTCATTCTCTACCTAAGGAGGAGGGTGAAAGCGTGAGAAAGTGAGTGGAGGAGGAACTTTCATGAGCAGGTGTGTCTACCTTCCTGAGTGATTGTCTGTTACCATTATCTCTGACGCGATACCTGCTGCTAGTATATAAAGGCAGAGACGTGATTCATCCGCTTCAGATTCACACTTCCAAAGTTCAAGCTTGCTAATTGTTGACTTTAGCTCTGGGCATCACTGCTTTTATGAAGATGAGGAATCTTCTTCCAGCGGTTTTACTTGGTCTTCTTGCCGTGATCCACTCATCACCTATTGACTGTAAGATATCTTTTTTTTTCTATAATATTTAATTTTCAAATCAATAATGTATTACTAAAATATATTTGATGATATAATTGTAACAATTCATTGAGAAGTAAAAAAAAATTGCTTTAAGAGATTGTCACTTAATTCTGAACATGCTTTAGTATGACAAACAAAATCTAAATGTTTTATTCTACAGTAGTCTTTTAACTTTACATTGTGACTCAGCACGTAGCCAGAACTCTCTGTGTATTTTAGCTCTCACTCCTGCACGAGTCATATTTCTTAGCTGCTGCTCAAATCTCAACGCCACCCCCAGAGAACACACAGAGGGCTTTGTAAAAAAAATTGTGAGCTGCTCCAAGAGGTGTATTTATGTGTTGATCTTGATCGCTGTGAAACCAAATATCAGCAAATAGTTGTTACACCAGTTTGGGCAACAGCTAATCTCAGAGGGGGGATACACCTTATCTGAACATGACCAAGCAAAAAAGAGAAAGAACATGATTTAAAGCTAACTTTAATTTATTTTTTAATATAACAGACCAGGGTATTTTTTTCAGGGATGGAGAAAGATTTTCCTACCTTTTCATCATTAGTATAGGTATTATTATCTAATATCTAAAAGTGTTAATGCGATTTCTTTTAAATTTTACCATCAAATTGATGTAAAATAATCCATCAACCTTTTAGCTATGTAAAAATGAGCAACAAGAACAAACAAAATAAATAAAAATGTCATAAATGTGAATTCTGACTCCTCACCATCAGTGATCATGAGTCAGCGTATGGTGACACAATGTCTGTTCCTAAAAAATATCTCTGAAATGTTGCAAGAATAAGAAATGATCAAACACAAATGTCACTTTTGCAACTAAAACAAAGAATTCGATTTAAATGAGAAACAAACATCTAACTTCTAAAAACATTAGATCCTTTAAGTGCAACTAAATCAATGATAATTCACAAATTTACATTTGTAAGGCCAAAACAAACATCAGCATGCTTACCAGTGAGCTTGCTCCATATTTTGTCCAATTGCATCCTCTTCAACAATCATCCTTTCCTAATAAACGGGAAGCAACTTCATTAGTCATTGTTCTGATGAAACAGGTGTGTCAAATTTTGAGAATGATGTTTTGTCAAAGCACTGGTCTCTTTTGTTACCCAAATATTAGTCACCCAGGTTAATTATTAGAGTTATCACCACACCTCAGTCAAAGAGGAGTGTAAAACAAGCTAACACAAGAATTCATGGTTCAAGGTTCAGTTGTAATATATAAAAGAGCTCAGTAACTTTCCTTTCCACTCATGTCAGGACCAGTTTGTAAATATAACAGTTTATCCATAGACTTTTCTCTTTGTTCTAGCTATGACCCAGATCCCTGCCAGGCCAGAGGAGGACGTTCTAGAAGAGGCCATGACTGATGGGTTCCTTGTTGAACATTTTGTTGGCCCCTCATTCACAACTGAGCCACCCAAAATAAATGCAACAGTTCAGGCATCCCAGCAGCCATCTTTGGAAATCTTACCAGAGGGCAGCGGTTTCTACCCTACTTCTACGACTGAATCACATGAAACGACCACAACCAATGTGCAGACATTCTTTGTTGACGCAAGCGAGGGCAGTGGTTTCTTGGGGACAACTACTTCTCCAACAACCAAAACACCTGAAATCACTAGAACTATTTCTCCATCTCCACAAGTGACCTTTGAAACCACAGACGAGGGAAGTGGCTTCACAGAATCCCCTTCAACAGAATCATCCACGCTATCTACATCGATTCCACAGACAAGCACAGATTTCCTAGCAGGTGGTAATGGTGACAGTTCAGTTTTCAGTTCAGGTGCCACGACAACATCTGTGAGTGTTTCAGCTGCAGCGACCCCTACCTCCACAATGGAGTCTGTGGAATCATCGATTGGCCTTAGAAATAATTCTCAAGGGAAACTACTCAGTGGCTTTATCGGAGGATTGGGAACAAATCAAGATGAGGTCTCTACCGATGGAGTTTCAACAAAACAAGTTCATCACCCCCATGGTAAATTTTCTGTAAATAATTATGATTATACATAAATTAAACATTTGATAGAACAATATTGTACTGTCCTAGAGAATGTTTAATTCTGAGTTGTTGTTTTTTAACTGCCAACAGAAGATACAGGCACTCACAAAGGACACAGCACACCTGGTAAGTTTAGGAAAAGTTTTTAATATTATCTATTTGTGGCTCATTAATTCCATTAAAATAACCAATTTTCCCATTTACACAGATTGGATCATCATCCTTGCATTTCTAGTTGCCCTGGCTGCACTTGTAGCTCTTTGCGCTGCCATTGCTACCAGAGACAAGTAAGACCTAATTGTCAGAATACTAATCATTAATTTTACTTCTGCATTCTTTAAGTGCTGAACTAATTTTTTGTTGTCTTCTTGATGTGTAGATGGAATGGTCCACAGCAGACATCTGAGAAAATAACTAATGCTCAGAACCAGAAGAGGGAGCAGGAAATGCAGACTTTCCTCCACAAAAATGAGCCCAAAGAGAATGGAATGGAAACTGAGTACACGGTTATTCCACTGGACGATCTTGCTGACCATCATTCATAAGACTGAGTTTGAGATACCGACCCTATGCAGACTCAGCTGTTAATCATAAGACTGTTTGTTAAAGAATCTAAAATTTGAACTGAGGAACAAAACTTGACTGTTAATCAGAATTAATTCTGGGCTTTATCTGGCAGTCAAAATTATGCTCTGTTTTTCTTTTTTCTTTTTTTTTTCTCTTTTAATGATGCCTTTCAAAAGTTTTAACAAGACCTGTACTTGAAATGTAAAAAAAAAAAAATGGCTGAGATATTTATTGCCATAATCATCTTTTTTTTATATTACTTGTAAGATAGACAACTGTTCATGAGTGGTGCACAAATATATTTTATTTCATTTCAACAAGATAAGATTTTCCAATGTATATTATTTTTTCCTTTTTTTTTACTTTCTTACAATTTTATTTTTTAAAATGTGTGTTTGTTTTAATATTATCTGAGAGTCTTTATAGTAATCTTATTGAATAATGTATTGTGAGTTGTAACTTATGTGAAACTGCTCTGCTGCTTTCCCATCTTCATTTTGCAAGCTGAGAGCGCTGTACAGGGCTCAGCCTGCTAACTCCACTGCTCTTCCTTCTCCCACACAGCACTTCAAAGGTTACCGAATATTCATTGCATCCCACGTCAAACAGGAAATAAACACAACAGAAACACATCGGTAAATATTTATCTGTGTTTTTATTTAATATATACACACATGTATTAAAAGATTTACGCACACTATTTTCTGGACAAATCCTTCAGTACAAGTCCATTCAGTTCTGTTTGCAAGTAGTCAGCCAATGTTTTGAACAGGGAAAATGTTACTTATTCTTCAATATAAGCACTGAATAAAAATGAAAATATATATAGAATACCTGAAATTTTACATGATAGAAGTAAACAAAAAAATGAGTCCAAATCACTAATAATGCATATTTCAAATCAGAAAACCAATGAAAAATGAACTTTTATGCATTTCACATGTAGCTGATTTTAAAAATATAAATAAAATTATGCACAGTTAGTCTTTCAAGGTGACAAAGCCATACAAATCAGAGGGCTTGATGGTTTTATTCATGTAGGCATAATGTAGCTGCCAACATCAAGTTGAACACACACTCAGAGCCACCTCAGCAGAATCAGAACCTAAAAATTACAGTCTTATGGGATCAGTCATAAAATGTGCTCTTTTTAAAAAAGGAGAAAAAAAAGTGAAATAGTTTTAGTACGTCTTTATCTTACTCTTTCACAGCCCATCAAAAAGTCTATTAGGCCAATAAATAAGTACAGATATAGCATTGCTCTATTATTGCTTAACACTGTTAATAAGAATAGTCTTTTTTTTAGAAATATTTAGGATAGCAAAAACACTTATGACAAAAAACGTCAAGTCTATACATTTGATTCGTATATCTCTAAAAGTGAATATATACACAAAGTGCAAGCAGGCACTTTAAACAAGGATGTATAAGCTGCTGCTTATAAAAAAAATAATCAATTTTTTTGCTGGGATCAATTAGAGTTTCTTATCCTGTGATACTCAAAAAACATGTGAAAACAACATTCAGTGACCTTGTTGTTACAGTGCTGGATTTATGTTAGTGCTGGAGGCAGAATTTAGTGTGCACTTGCTAAACAGATGTGACCATAGATAATTAAGTCTAGATCCAATTACAAGCTTGTTATTTATATGCAAATCTGATGTGAAAAATCTACAAAATCTAATACAATCTTGTGAGAAGGCCCAGCCATCCTCAAATGCTGTATAATCTCTGCAAATGTATCCAGTGAACTTAAGTCCACTAAAAAGCTTAGCAACGTCAGTCCAGAAATATTTTAGTCAAAGTGATCACACTCTGAATGTGACATCTTCAAGGCAAGGTTGTTATATAGCACAGAAAAAAGAACAGTTTGTAATGAAACACACAAAACTATGTCCTACTTAGATTTTCAGAGAAAATCCTTTTTTCTGTGTTTCCTCTTGTTGAACCACTAGCTTTCTTTCCCTTTTAATCTTTGTTCTTTTCAGCCCCAAAATGCACGGAAATAATCAAACATCCTTCCCAGGTCACAGGCAAACAGACACTCATTGGTTCATACGTAAGAACAGACACATAAAGTAGAAATAAATAAATAAATAAATAAATAAATGAATAAATAAACACAGTAACCGATTTCCTCTCTGCAACACATTGTGTTCTGTTTGTTGCCGCTTTTAGAAGCCACTCCCTGTCTTAAGTCTTAAGCTTCACTTCTTAGGCTTGACCACGTGTCTGAAGGTATAATCCCATAAATCAAACAGTCAGAGGTAATGCAATGCTTAACAGTCCAGTACTTTAAGTTAATGCCAGCAGAAGCAGGGCTTCACTTTGGTTATGTTCTTTTTAACCTTTGGATAAATCAAACAGCAATGAAAGTTACACATTTGTGAATGTCAAATATTTAATGACGAAGCTTGCATTTCACCAACAAATTTCTTACTCCATTCTGATTCTTTCTTACAATCTTGACTGCCAAGGCAATTTCTCCAATATGTTCATGTCTTTGTCCCTTAGGCCATGGAGCAAATGCTTAAACACAATAATAAAGAAATCAGTTGTCTTGACAAGAAAGGAAGAATGCAGCAACCCTGAGTAAGGTCCTGAGTGTCGTCAGCCAACTATTTGACTCATCCAAAGAATTGCTTGAAGCAGAAAAGTTCATTCCAGTTTATGTGCATGCATAAACTTCCAGATGTAAGATCAGATTTAAGATGCAAAAGCACAGCGTCCTCCAGAGGTTACCCAGGAAAGAAAGGGAACTCTTCGTTGACTTGACAGCAGTTAGTTCTTGCAGAAAAGTTTCCATTCTGTGTCATCTCAATGCACTCTCTGTGTCCTTGCACAAAATATATATGCTTTTTTTATTTGTTTGTTTATTTTCATTAAATTAGTGTCCTCAGAAAGTTACAGCTGGACAAATTCAGGCTAAAGTGCTGAATCTGCATTACTTGAAATTCCACGGATCCTCCTCAACAATAGAGAACTCTGGAGTGTTGCCATTTTTGCCGATTTTGACCTGCAAGCAATTATCAAGAACAGCTGACTATTTGGGCCAAGGCACCATCATTAACAAATACTCAGTGGTTGTGGGAAGAGAAGCCATTCCTTCATTACATTCAAAGCATTGTCCAGTTGACAGACTTTAGTTTACAAATCCCCCCAAAAGAGTCAAATATCCCATACCACGAACAAATGGAATGATACAGAGGTTCTGTTTACATGTTCCTCTAGCTGAGAACACCAAAACAGTTCTCCAAAGTTGGTCATGTATCTTATGGATTCTCTCCCCAACCGAATTACAATACTGATAGTAAAACACAGGCAGCGAAATGTCAACAAAATCTGCTGTTTGTACACAAACAGAACTACAAAAATAAGTCTGAGAGGCATTTATGAATGTAATGCATCGCTAGCGATGACATATGGTGAATCAGCAGTCTTTATGCACACCACTGGCTGCAAAAGAATTTTAAAAAATGTCTGTTGATTGACGATTGTAATTTGGTTAGGGTTACCATAAATACATGTCCAATTAGACAAAGCAAATAAAAAAATTACACCACAAAAAAACCCTAAAATAAAATAAAAGTAAAATGTAAGCATTCACAAGAAAACACAGTATTGTGAAAGTTTAAAAAAAATTTTTTTTTTTTTAGTATTTATATGACTTCTTGATTAATAAAACCCAACAGGAAAAAAGTACAGACTCTGCTTTTGCTGAACCTGGTATCACAAAAACTGCTTTTTCGTTCCATTTATGGGTGAACAAATAAATATGGACATATTTATTTTAGAGTTTCACCACTTATAAATATATTTTCATAAATGAAAATATCACAAGTGCTATGACCAAAGACACATGCAGGGATCAATAAAAAAAAAGAGAGAGAAACAAGTACACCAATAGGAGAAACACAAAGCTGAGGAGCTTCTCTACATACAAGTCTCTATGTCCGTTAATGTGAAATGTACCTTGCAGTCGTCTATCAGGATTGAGTTGTGGTGAGCATACATATTCTGGTTGGTGTTGTTTTCAAAAAATGACTGTGTCTTTGCCATCTCAAAGTCATCCATCCGGGTCTGCTGGGCATCATACATGTCTAGTTCGTCTTTGGAAAGGTAGTAAACGATTCCGGCACCGTAGGAGTCTCCAACCACATTAACAGAGGTGCGGAAACGATCGCTGCATGTTGATAAATGATAGAAAGAATAAATATATGAGCAAATTATCACAACAAACTACAAACATTGGTATTGTTCTATTAGATAAATATGGCTCAAACTCTCATATCACCTCCAAAATTGTATTACTTGGTTCTAAATATTAAACATTTATTGTGTGATCTTGAGTTGTTTTTTCTTTTTTCTCTTCATGTCTCTTTTTTGAAGTTTTGATTTCATAAACATTGATATTAAAAAAGAAAACAATCACAATGATTGCGATGTTCATCATAGTGATGCGATTTTCTAATGTTACCTAACTCATTACATTGCTTCTAAAATCATAAGTCTTAGAATCTAATGCTAGTATGGTCTTCAGCCCTTAAGTTTTCAATAATGGAAGCAGTGTTTGTGTACAACTCACAGCAGCCAATCAACAGCGACCAGGAGGCTTATGTCCTGAGTGGGGAGCCCCACTGCTGTGAGAATCAGAAGCATGGTCACAAGTCCTGCACTGGGAATACTGGCAGCTCCAACACTGGCCAAGGTGGCTGTCATGCTAGACAGGAGACAAATACATCTCTTAGCAGGTGTTTTCATTTGTCATTGCAAGTACTGAATGCAAATGCAGTAGAAATACCATAAATAACAGATTCACAATTAAAATCTGGACATTCGAGGGATAAATAGATAGATAAATGAATAAATAAATAAACCAGTCCTTGAAGAATAAAGGCTCAATTGATCAAATCAATTGTTTTAAATTATTTGAGCACATTTTAAGCCTATTAAAGTATAAATTAAAATATGATGAATGGTACTTATGATTTGACAATTTTAAAAACTCAAGGAAAATAGAGTAATACAGTCCAATTGTAACATTTATCTCTAGCCACATTCTCACCTCACAGTGACTATCTGGCCCCAGTCCAGCTCAATCCCATTCATTTGAGCGATAAAGATGGCCGCCACTGCCTCGTAGAGCGCCGTACCGTCCATGTTAATGGTGGCCCCCACGGGGAGGACAAAGCGTGTGACCCTCTTGTCGATACCCAGGTTTTCCTCTAAGCATCGGAATGTGACAGGCAAGGTACCAGCACTGGTGAATCAAAAGACAAAAATATTATCCATGACCACAGTGATATTTAGGTTTTATACTCCACTTTCATTTATAGCTAAATCTTAAAACAATGACAACTCTTCTAGACTGTCGGTAATTATTATTACTGTCAGGTCTAGACATAAATAAAGAACAGTGAACCATTACAAAAAATGTGAAATTATCTAGATGGCCACATAAAATTGTATAATTCAATTGACATGTCTGTTTTATTTTACAGTGACTTGATCTATGTTTCTGCTGTAAATAATTATTGATTCCTGACAGGTTGTTATGTACTGTATTTCTTAAAGAGTAATTGTGTTCTGCTAAAATCAGTTTCCAAAAGTAAGAGTTCGAAGAAAAAGCCTGAAATCAGAAACTAACACCAAAATGTGGTTTGTTGCCTCTCTAAACAGGTCATAATCTCTACAATTCCTCCTGATTCTGATAAAATCTCAGTCTAAACTGTTGTAATGCATAAAAATCACAGTTTAAAACCAGAGAAAAATACAATAGCTTGTTTAGAATTAACAGTTTTTTTGTACATTTGGCAGAGTGGGTGGTTAGAAACTTAAGCTCACATCAAGAGGGAATAAAATGGTTTACATTCCTAAACAATTAGAAGCAAAGTTGAATTTATGTAGGTACAAGTTTATGATACTGCTATGTAAAATAAGGCATGCTAAAAAGCCTAATTAGATGCAATTTTACAGAAACAATAGGTCAACATTTTTTAATTCTGCTGAAAAGATCCCTATTGATTTATTCTTAAATACATAGATTGCTGTCATAGATAACTGTATAATTGTTGTGCAATATTATAGCAAACTATCATATTCTATAGTTCAAACTATAGAACATAAAAAATAAATAAATAAATAAAAACAAATCAAAAGTCTATTTTACCTAGATGCCGTTCCGAGTGCTGTGACCCAGGCTTGAAATATTCCCATAAAGAAGGTGAAGGGATTCTGTTTTACTATCACAAAATATATTAGCGGAAGGAAAATGCCTCCATGGATGATTAGGCCCACTATCACAGTCACCATGTACATCCCAAGCTGCCTCGCAACCATCTCCAAGTCAGCAATGGAGATTATTTTTCCGCAGATAAGGCAGGCGATACCAACAGGAGAATACCTGAAAAGAGATATAATGTAACATTGTTAAGCAGTTTCCCTTCTTTCCAGAATGAATGCACAAAACGCAATAATAGAGAAAACCTGCACTCACCACATAATTGCGCTCACAAGCTTCATAACGATTTCATTCAGAACGTTGAAAAACTCCAACATCAGCTTGGCCTTCTCTCCCATTTTCCCCATTATAACTCCAAAAGCCACAAAGAATCCAATCAGCCCTGTATGCAGAATAATAGTGATGTTAATTTTGCTTGAATGAAAGATTGTTTTTAACACATTTTATCTCTTGCATTATTCATCATAATGAGTTTAACCGTCAGTCTGGGACAGGTTTGGATTTCAATCTACGTAGCTCTTGTTCATTATGTTTGATTCATACCTCCTAATTAGAGTCATATCTCTTTAAATTGAGGATGAACAGCTCATGTAGAAATGTAAAGAGATGATCTAAACAACTGGTGATGAAAAGACTAAAGGCTTTTCTCTGGTATGCACTTACAAACCTTATTTAGCCATAAGCTTACACACAGAAATAAATAACATTACAAATATTTGAATAAAAAAAAAACGTCTTTTTTCCTTTTCTTATATAACTAAAAATTTAAATGAAAAATGTTTTATTTTTCTTTAAGGGCACTGTCAGCCTATTTCAGACATAATGTGGGTTTTTTGAATTTGCACCTACCGAGGACATTCATCCCACTCTTGAACTGAAGTGACCTCTTAACTGTGAACTGTGGAGGTGCTCTCGTCCTGTTGGTTGGCACTGGTACTTTGGTGGTTACTGTCTGGATCTGGACAAGAAAGACATTTTAAAAACAGGCAAAAAAAGAAATAAGTGGGAGCAGCTGACACATCACGTTATATGGTGAGAGAAAATTCTTTGTGTGACTCCTACCTGCTGGAAACAGGCCTGGACCAGATTCTCTGGGAAAAGATTTCGAACGAGATCGAAGAAAGCATCAACGCTGGATACTTCATCGTTCTTTTTCCCCTGTCCTAGATTAGCTCTTAGTTTGGGATTCCCTGGATGGATGACCAACACCAAGATTACTCCAAGGATGGCTGCAATTACTGTTGTTGACATGTAGTACACCATCGCTCTGGTGCCTAAACGACCACTGGATTTGGCATCCAAACCCGCAAGTCCTATTGGAAAGAAAATAAAAGTTCAGAAAAAAAAAAAAAATCCAGGAAACTTTGTTTTCTTAATTTTTTTTTAACGTTTAAGAAATATTTGTTGAAAAGTTGATACTTGGAAAATGTTTCTCAGCTTTCCTGTTTTCCCAGGGTTACAATTTTTAAATCCAATCAAATCCAGGTTTATTTATAAAACACCATGCAAGACAATGGAAACAAAAATTACAATGTAAACTTTGTCTGCCATAATTCATAGTAGAAGAGACAGGATCAAGAACAATACCCCGAGCTATGTTTAATGTTGCAAATTAAATCATTTTACAGTTCAGGTTTTGTCTTGTGAATGTTTCAAAGAGAAAAGCAGCTTCAAACTGAGGAGAAACAATACTAGCTGTGAAACATACACATTGCTCATAAGTTTCCTAAGACTGTAAAAAAAAAAAAAAATATATATATATATCTTTGTAAGAACTTTTTAGTTTGCTAAACAAACACAAATTTTAAAAATTAAAAATGACACAGACTCTCTCTTTTTCCCTGTTGCAATCCAGCTCCCAGGTTACAGCAAGTACAGTGTGACCTCATTTCAGGACACTCGTTTGCAAATTCAGCAGAACATTTCATGCCGCACAGACAACGAATCTCACCCACCTGTGACCAAACTGGAAACAACAAGAGGCAAAATAAGCATTTTTAGCATCCTCATTAAGATCTCCCCAGGGAAGGCAATGATCATTATAACGTCAGGAGGGAGGGGTGATATGTGCCGTAGAAGCATTCCAGCAATGGAACCAAGAAACACACCTGTAAAAGAGAGAAAGAAACATATTAAAGATAAAGCCTGGTGACTTTATGGGCTTGAATAAAACATATAAACTCTTATGTAAACACAAGTTCAGAGGAAATATGTCAACACCCTTTCTGCAAACAGAACCTCATATTATTCACATTTAATATTTCTTTTAACAATCAGCATAATAGTTGCAGTTCCAAGATATTTGGCTTCCACAGACATTGTGATTGCCTTGCTTTTGTAATAAACAAAGAGCAATGATTTAGAAGATCTCGTAAGTCAATCAGTGACTAATCTAATTTATCTTCCCCTACCTACCCTGCACTTAAATCTACATAAATAAGAATTACTGCAAGTAATGTTATGAAAAGGGTGGCCATTAATCAGTGTATTTCAATGTAATAAGCTCCAGAAAATTCTGAAATGTGCTTTCTTTTACAAGATATTCCAACATGTAAAAGGTTGAACTCTCTTATATTTGCGCGCCAGTGTGTTCACACTGCGTGGGTGGATTTCTCTCTGATGTTCCGAGTTCCTCTCAGAGCCCAAAGACAGGCAGCAACAGCTGCTGCAATTGTTGAAACCAGGTGCAGCAGTTGCTCTCCACTGATTGCACATGTAGGTATGATGGGAAACACATGGCTATCACCTGATACTGCCAGTGGCTTTTGATGGTAGACGATAAGCACAATGTTAAATAGCTGCAATTCGATTTTGGTTCTGGAGGAGCGATTTACTCATAATTGATTTAAATTTTTCCCATCATTAAAGTTGACGGAGCTTTTCTCCTTTTTTCAGATGCTTCTTCAAAACAACACAAAAAATAAGTTTGAGGAGGATGAACTGAATCAAAATCTTTGCTAACAAGTTCGAATCAGATTAAGAAGGTACGTTCCCTAATAGACAAGCAGATCCCTTGGCACGGCGGAGTGGGAGGAGTTTTGCTTTTACATGGTGAGAAAAAAAAAGTCTGCTGGCTGGGCAAGATCAGAGGTGACCTCTGAGAGGGATTGTGTTTTATTATGACATATTCATGATAACCTAAACATGAAATAATAAAAGTTAAACTACTAGGAGTCTCTCATGCACAGCCTGCAGTCATCCTATCCCATTGATTCATTCACATTATTCATTATTTCAGATATTTTTTCGACGCTCTAAAAAAAACGTAGGTTTTTTTGAAGAATAGAACATCAGAGAAAAATCCACCCACACACTGTGAACACATCTGAGCTCAGACGTAATAGAGACTCCCACTTTAGATGGTTGAAGTGGGAGTCAACTTTTCTCTTCGGTGGGTTTAAACGGGGGCATCTGGCGCAAACCACGCCCAACCTGTGCACCAGTTTTCTTGCTGATGGACAAATGGTGCACACCCAGTTGACAGTTATTTCATAATCTGAATGTCCCAATTTAAGAAACACTAAGTCAAAATCCCATCTGGGCACCAAATCCATGCACTGCTGCAAACTGAAATAATGGCCTATGTGAACAGGACAGTTCAGTTATCTTTGAATATTTGTAGATCAAATAAACATGAACACCAATGCACTTTTGTTTGCTTCCATGTCATTTACAGGAATAAAATAAATAAAAGATGGCACAGACTGATCCTCTGCAGACTCTGAAGCCTGCAGGGAGCACTCAATCTTCACTGGAGCTTTTTAATCCATCCACTTGCTCCAGTCCCGTTTTTTGGTGACCCACTTCATGTCAAACTAGTCTATTGTTTGAAATATGCTTCCAGCCCCGGTGAGTCCCAGAACAGGATATATGAGGATTGAAGATAAATGGACTGTGTGTAGACTTATGGAAGTAGGGGGACAATGGACTTACCCAGGATTGTGAGAGTGAGAACCATGTTCTTCATTATCTTTTCACAGATATTGCTGCATGGATTCTCGGGAGTCTCCACGATTGGGTCTATGTGGCTCTCGCTCATCCTGACCTCGACTTGCTTCTGCATTTTGATGGCACTGAAAAATACATAGACAGAAGAGTTGGTGTTTAGGAGAGATAGTTTTAACTATTCTGTGGGTTTTGGTTCAGTTTCAGGAAGCATCTTCTTGGTTTAATCTTGTATTCATTGAGATTTGGCTCATCTTTTCTTATCCATGTGTGAGTTTAGATTCTCAGTTGTCCTTTAAAGTTAAAGTTGTCTTTAGAGTCCCTGATCTTGTCTCTAAATGCCTTGTTACCAACTGTGCTGTTTCTTGTTAACCAGTTCAAGCCACTATAGCCTACACTCTCTCCAGTATTTATGCTCTATGTTTTTCTTTGTTCTTTTCTTATGGTTGTTATTGACTTCATATTTGCCTTGTCTTAGTTTCTGCTGCTTTGTTCTGCTTAGTAGCTGTTCAGTCGTTTTGTTTGCCATTGGCACTACTTTTTTATTTTTCTCAGTAGACTCATAAAAAGCTTTTTGAGTTCTGCTTTCTGGTCCTCTTCTAAATAATCATAGCAACACTAACAACACTTGAGTAATGTCATTCACTTGTTATTATTTCTTTTCAGATTATAGAAGATAATGACAAAGGTTGTATGGTTGGATTTAAGTCCTTAACTAAAGCCAATGCCAATGAAAAATTGTTAGATTACATGTTCCTCTATTTTATAATTGAAGAAGTGTTGAAAAATATTAAACACAGCTGAATTAATTTCACTCCGTACCATTTGTTTCCTTAATGTGGGCAAACTAGTTAAAAGTTTCAGGAATGCTATCAAATATAGCAACTGTTATTCTCAAAAATAAAATAAAATAATTATAATTCCCTCTGTTTCTGTGTCATTTGCAATTATCGTTATTAATTTTCCCCTGTTGGAGGAAGGCCTTGTCCTGTGTTTCTGTGTTGAACAGTTTCTTTCCTGTTAGATGAAGTCACAAACAGAAGCTATTGCTGCCATTTACTCTACATATTCTCTTTTTCTTCTAGTCCTCACAGCCAGTCTCAGCTGACAACTCATCATACTGAGCCGGGTTTCTTCTTGTTATCTCTTTCCTCGCTTGCCACATGCTTAGTCAGGAGGTCAAATCTCTGCAAAGTCAACAATGCAGTTGTTGAGGTCTCGTTGGATATATTTTTACCATTTAGTATTCAATGGCTCCCTGAATTTGACTGTATAAGATTGAATGAAGGTGTATGCAATGACTGCATATGGACTTTGTTTGAATGTCCTGAATTTATATTAATTAAATGGGGACTGAATCTAACTCTTAATGACAGGGAATGAAGGTCACGATTTTGCCACGTGAAGTGCCTGGAAATTACGTTTCTTTTTAATTGGCACTGAATAAATAAACTTAATACAACTGAATTAAATCAGAAAAGAAGTTACTAATAATTTGTCTTTCAAAATAATTTGCTTGATGTTTCAATTTGAATAAACAGAATGCTTAGTTTCACAGATATCCTTGCCCATGGCTATGCTATCTTTGCCTTTGTTTAATCAGCTTTGCATGATGATTAATGCAAATTTGGAAAATTCTATGTACTGAAGATATACAATTAATCATGGAAGATGTATAAAGATGTGAATAAATAACTGGCTCCAGGATATTTTGTGTTACCAGGCTTTTGCAGGTCTTAGAACACTAAAGTATGCTACAGTCTATTCAGAATGCTAAAAATTAAAATCTGGATGCTAATTGCACTTTCGCAAGCTCATCCATCCTAACGTGTACTTCTCTAACTCTCTGACCCTCATTTTGTCCTTAAAGCAACACATAGTTAAGGTTTGTTGTGGTCTAAACTAAAGCCTCTTTGACTAAAGATCAACTCCCCTGAGGAGCCTTTAAATCTCCTAGAGAACACAGACGTACACAGTTATGCAACAGTGAATCCCTGTTGTCACTTGAACCACCTTGACCTCAATGACACCAGCAACATCAACTTCAGCAGCAAAAACTACAATAAAACCACTGTTGTTGTGGGTCACTAAAAACACTCTCCTGCAAACAACTTAATCAAAAGTTGTTGTTTTTTTTTTTTTTTTTGCATTGCACATTTCAGCACCAAAGCAGTTTAAAGTGCTTTGCGTCATAAAAATTCAAAAATATGAAGTCATAGAAGTTACCACAGCCAATAATTGAGAGAACCAGTAAACATCATATTTTGTAAAGTGCCATCATTACACATCGAAATGTTGGTCAGTGCTTCATTTATGTTGGTTCAGAAACAGCTCTAAACAGGTGGAGTTTTAATTTAGATTTCAAAGAATTCAATGTTTCAGCTGTTTAACAGTTTTCTGGAAGTTTGTTCCAGAAAACTGCAAAATGATTATAATTTGGAATAACTTCTTAACAAAGAAATTTAAAGGGAGCGCATAAGAGAAGGACATGACAACTGCCAAGTCAATCAAGGCTGTCTGATACAGTGTGCTCTGGCAGTAATGAGACTTAAGCGATTTAGTAAGGATAAAATTAGCTCTTCCAGGTCACAAGTGATTGACTTATGTAACAGAAAATGGGCTTCCTATGAAAAGTCAAGGTGGTAACATCATCTGCAGAACATTGCTAATTAGACTTCATGAAGCTGCATAACAGACTTCAAGCACTGCATTCGTAGAAAATAACTTTTCTTCATATTAAGAAGTTAACATGTTAATTGTTGATCAGTAGGCTATGTAGTATCTGTTTTCTAAATGGTTGTAGCATATCAACATTTGGGTTACTGTGAAACACAAGCAAAGCATTAGCATGGAGGGCAGATTTGGTAGAGGTATAGAGTAAAGACGAAATAATATATGCACTTTGCCCAGGACACAATTATTGAATAACATGTTATTTACTAATGCATCGCAAAAGACAATATATCTGCATGAAAAACATTGACGTATACCATCATTGCATGAGCACACATTGTTCTAATAGGGAATCAAAGTTGCATCACAGATAATGATCCTTCATCTCAACCTTTAGTCGTCATTTGCAAAGTAAAGGCGGCAGTTGCTTTTTTAATAATAAAACTTACCAGATGTATGTTATTCAGGACAATGTCTGGACTTGTTGGGAGATATCACACGACCAATGCAATTTTTGGAATCCTTTGCAAAGTCATGGCTCAGTCATCAGCAAAACGTCAAAAAGATTTTAGTCCCCTCAGTTGCAACAACAATCTGCTGGTCACTTCTTGTCGTAAATCCACAATCAAAGTCAAAGATGCCTTTCAGCTGCAACGGTTTGTGCAGAGGTAAAGTGGTTAAGTGGAGGTGTGACTGAAAGCTCCCAGACAGGAAGGGTGGAGTCATCCTGCCAAGATTAGCGAAGAACTGAAAAGCCTTGGTAGCATTTTTTTTTCTTGTTGTTATTTTGAATGTTTGATTTCTTGTGTTTTCCAGAGTTCCTGATTAAAAATCAATAATGCACAGATTACTTTTGACACCAATTTGTGCATGTCCAAAAGCTGAACATGCATCTCAGAAGTGATGACAAAAAGCTGCATAAGCTTTGGATCGTACAGGTCAAAACTTGAAAAATTGGGGTTTTGCTTGAACATTTCATTGGTAAGAGAAGCACAATGTTCATGTGCATTTCATATAATGGTGGCTTGTTAAGAGAAGGCATTCTGCACCTAATCTTTGATGAGCAATGTCCAAAACCTAAACGTAAATAAAATTCAGCTTCAGGTAAAACATCAACCAACAAGAAACTTAGGACATCTAATCATTTTTTAAAGTCCAACTGAACACATTTTAAAACATAATTCAGTTGTTGAAAATCAATTGTCTTTCCTGTCATGTCAACAATAGCTACTTTTGAGCAAAATAAACATACATAATTGAATTGGGATAATCTTTTTTTCTGATTTCCATGGAGAGTGAGAGAGCTCTGTAAGATCTGACACTCAATGTTACCAAATTGTGGGATAATTTACCAAATTTAAAACTGAGTAGAATAAACTGTTTGTAGTACTCAAACATTAAAGCCTGGAAGGCTTCCTGTACAGCTCTCAGCTCAGAATCGCTTTAATGGACCCAGCTCATTAATATACTCCCTTTGTAGATGGCAGCAACAAAGAGTGACTCAGTGCAACCATTTATTTATGTCAAACATTGCAGAGTCACATCTCCTCAAACCAGCTTTGACATTTAGTCTCAGTGGCTCTGGGTAAATAGCTTTTTTTTTTTCTATCAATAGTTCAACCTTACGCCACTGGCTTTTAAAGCATTTATTTTTAATTTGTTTGTAATTTGTGGGAAAAGTGCTATACATTATTTGGAACATTAACTGTGTTCCAAATCATGTATGTCAACCTGAATTATCCTGAAATTTGTGGGGGTCAAAATTATTAACTTTTAAAATCCTTGGCTGCTCTGAAATGTTAGAAGAGATTTATTGTAGAGCAGTCCTCAGCGCATGCACAGGTAGGGAAAAGCCAATACCGGAGCACATGGCAAAGCATTTGTCCGTGCAGCTCCACCTTTTTCTTCCCACTGCAACAAGCCGTCCTCATGCTGCAACACCTGACAACACAAGGCCATGCTTAGACAGCAGGTGTCTATAATTAACTAATCTGTCCTGAGCCATCCTAATTCCAGCGCACATTTACACCAATATGTTTCAGAAACAGGGAACATGTCTACAGCTGTGAAATCCTTGAAGTTGACAAAACTTTGAAAATGTGTATGATTGAGGAAGGAAATGTAAATCTGTGCATTAGGCCTCATGGTTATTTTGTCCAGTTTGTAAAAGCACAGCAAATATTATTTGTCACTTGTCAGTAATAGTTTAGTTCTTAAAATTTCTAAGGTATTACGTGTGACTTTGCACAAAAATGTCCGTTTGATGCAATAAATATAATAAAATGTTATACAAATCCATGCAGACAGTGGGAAACTTAAATGCATCCTAACTGCTTTCCAAGGGGTTAAAATGGTAGACAGTAGTCAAGTAATCAAATCTATTTGTTTGATGCATCATCATCAAGAAGGAGCAACAGAAAAAAAGTCTTGTTTGTGTTAAGCCTTCAGGAAGTGACATGTGCCTGCACACGGTCAAGGATATGAGAAAGTTGCTGTAATCTAATCTACAGTGTAAAATGCCAGACTTTTGGATTAAGAGGCTTCATGGTAGAGCAGCTGTTAGCACTGATGTCTTGCAGCAGGAAGGCATTGGGTTTGAATCCTGGCCTCAGGCCATGATGTTTGCATATATTCCCTGTGCATGGGTGGATTCTGCCTTACCTTAACATCACCAGAAAGTCTTAACACAGCTGTCCCAAGCCCAGTTATGATGACATTCCTTCAGCTTCCGGACAAAACCTCACTTTGCAAAAGGATTTGGGATTTTCTATATATCACACAGCAGGCAATACATTAAGAGGTAAGAAGCAGCACTTTATCAAAATAAGCACAGGGAGTTCCCAGGGATTTGTCTCAAGTCTTTGCTCTTCATTCTGCTGACTCTCCACTTTGGCTGATACTTCAACAATGAAAATGAAGAGCAGAGGTGGAACAGCGAGTGAGCTGGTGTGGGAATAATGTTTTGTCACTTAATCTAAACACTAAACCTTGAAAAGAAAAATCCTATTCGCGACTACAGCAGAAAGGATGATCAGCACAAAATTCTGGTCTGATTCACTCAGGACTCACTCAGGATCTCATATAGACTTTCAGGGTCGTAAACTATTTCAGCTCAGCAAATAACAGGCTTCTCATGAGACTGCAGTGAGGGAAAATTCCTAAATCCTTACCACCTCTCTAACCTTTTACAGAGCACTCTATTTAGAGGATTCTGATAAGTTACAATTCACATTAGAATTTAACTGGAACTCCCACCGAGGAAAAGACTGTCATATTTGGTAAGAATAGCTGCGGGATTTATCAGGGTCACCTCCTTGGAAACCAATTCTAACGACCATTATAAGATGAAAGCTCTCCGAATTGTGAGACATTTCTTTTACAGTCGAGGTGTTTAAGGTGTTTAATCTGAAAGAAGACACTCTATACCCAATCAAAAAGTAAGAAAATGACACTGCTTCATGTCTTAGGAAATAACGCTGCTTAATTTATCCATCCATCCATCCATTAGAAATAGAAACTTCAATGGAAAAACAATAGCCTGGATTTATATTTTGTACAATGCAAAACAATATTGTACATGTACAGTTACCTTGACATTTATTGGCAATGCTATTAAAGATGTGCATGGAAAACAGAAAATGTTTTTTCTATTTTCTGTTCACAAATTTAGCACATTTTGTTGCCTAACACTGTTGTTTCAGTAATTTTGATTACCTCTGCAATTAATCTTTGTCATTTTGTCTTTGACAAAAAAAAAAAAAAAAAAACAGCACATCAGCAATAAAGCTATGACTAAGTTTAAAGATTATGGTTTATTTAGAAAAAAAATTTTGCAAGATGTGAAATTCAATCATCATCTAAGTAATGGAAAATAGGATGGCACAATTGCAAACCTACCAAGATATGAAACTCAATCTAAACTTGCAGCTGGAGAAGTAGAGCATTAATCATGTAAAGAGCTTCAGAGATCCATGGCAACTTTTGAGGACCTGCAGGGATCAAAATAAGTCAGGGCAATATGTCTACAGGCCAATTACTGGTCACAAATTCAACTAGCCTTTATGGAAAAATACAAAACAGAAAGTTATTGTTGACTGAATGTTATAAAAAGTTCTGTTTGCAGTTTGCCACAAGCTGTGCAGAGGACACAACAAACATGTTAAAGAAGGTGCTCTGATAACACCAATGTTAAACTGGTTCACTTGGAAGAGACAAAGTGGCACAAAAAATACCAACATTAAACATCAACCAAATTGGCCACTGTGAAATAAAGCTGTGGCAGTGTTATGCTGTGGGGACACTTTTCACCACAGCAGCAAAGCAGGTCAGTAATAAAAGGAAACCGTGTTTGAATAAAAGTAAAAGTAAGTTAAGTGAAAAAAAATGCATCTGATTAGCATGAAAGCCAGTTATGAAACAAGCAACAAACATTACAAACATAGTCTTGACTTAAAGGAACTCAGTGTTGTGGCTGTTTTGCAGGTTTCCATCAGTTTGTTCCAGATTTTTAGTGAATTAAAAACTCAATGCTGCTTCCTCTCATTTGGTTCTCTTCCACAGTTTGTATGTATTTGTAAATCATTGAACACTTTACAAAGGGCATCCCTGTTCTGTAGTGAACATGGAAATCACACTGAAAGGCATCCAAGCTGTCAGTTTTTGTTAAGAAAGTATTTAAAGGTTGAAGCAGCTTTTACAATCATTTACAGTGATGCCCTCCTTTGCGTTGGTCTATTCCCTTATTTTGAAATATGTTGATGTTTTTCATTTTAAAATGGGAAATAGCAAAAAAGTGTAAAATGTTAAACAATGTTAGAATGAATGTTTGAAAAAAGTACCTGAATACCATAACTCAAGTCTAGCTCCCAGTCAGCACTCATTATGAACAGTAAAATGGATGGATGGATGGATGGATGGATGGAATAATATATCAAGATAGTAAAAATAACAAATTATGTTAATTTTTTGTTCTACAAATTGTTTTCATGTGAGCATCTTTGCCACAGTTTTCTAAATTCCAAATAGATTTAGTCTTCTGCTCTCTTCATCTGATTGTTTGTTTTTACGAAGCTTCAACAGAAATCAAAGCTAGATTAATTAAAAACATTGAATCTGTATGAATGAAAAAATAAGTCTGAGATGTAGGAAGTAAATCGAAGAAACACACTACAGAGGAACATTGGTGTATTTTTGATGGAAATCATCCTGACAGCTGTTTTATGTAAATTTCTGACCTCAATACAATGCATGGTCTATTTATTCTACAAATCAAAGGAATATTAATTCAAAGAGCTTTGTGTCTTTTATACGCTCAGCAGAATTAATGAAGCAATTAGTGTTTTGTCATTTGTCTTCTGGCTTTCCATCTCAGTTGTCTTTTTTTATCCAGTCATTTTTTAAAATATCCCCAAAGCAACTGATGTAGAATCTAAATTAGGCATAAAACCAAAATTAGAATGGGTTTTGAAAAATGGGTCCAACATTTTTTACACTATACTAATATTTAATTGGTAGAGACAAATGAGGCAAAAAAAACTTCATAAAGTGATAATTGAGTTTACTGCAAATCAGCAAATGGACCATAAGCACTGATTTTCTGCAAAGACTTTTAGGGCCACTGCTCAAATGATACATTGTTTTAAATATCCTGAGGATTCAGCTAAACGTTTAACAATTTTAGAGAAATTTGTCCTTCTTCAGATCATTTAACAAAAATCTTAATATATTTAAGGGCTGTTTGATATAGTATTTATAAACCGCTCATGCAACACTGCCCATAGTCTGTTAATGTCATGCATTCAAAACAATCAACCATGTTTTGCATGAGCTTGGAGTGAAATCATGGTACACCACTGATGATTATGCATCAGTGCTGATTTTAACGACATCTGCCTCAGAAGAGCAGGATTTCAACGCCAGAGCTCATCTCCAGTTCCTGATTAAGGGAGTTAATTGCTCTTACTTATGCAGAAGATGTACAATTTAAAAAAAAAAAATAAAAAATATGGACAAGAAGCTCTTAACTTGCTCTGCCATCATGCCTCCACTTGAGAATGAAGCAGAAGCAGAAAATGGCATTTTCTACTCTGACTCATTTCAGTGCTCTTGTTCCTTATGAAACAGAACGTCACTAAACAAAGCTAAATTATGGGGATGTTTTCAAATCATGCTTTATCAAAATTTAGACAAAAAAATGGACACTTATGCATGTCTGCACTTCAAAAAACTTGTTTTTAAATTTGTATATGTACAGAGACACTCTGGAATTCAACATTAAAATTAGGAGCGACAGCAACTCAAAATCATTAGTTATTCATGACAGTGAGAAAAAAAAAAATCTTAGCTTTTTTGTTGATGCTTTTTCATTTAATTTAAGCAATTATGCATTACAAATTAGAAAGCCAAGGACAATAACAGAAACAGTGGTGTGTTTTAAATGATCTTATAATAAGATTATTATAAAAATATGTTTGCCTTTTGACAATATTGTTGAAGTAACTTCTGGCAGCTTTCAGAACCAAAATTCTTTCACAAATTACAGAAACCAAGCCCAGTCAGAATTGGATGCATTTTGACACCTGGTGATCAGTAGAGATGTGGGTTCAATTTCATCTTCCTTCTCTTATATGTCAATATGCCTTTTGGCAAGGCATTACTATTATTTAACCTCAAGTGAAATGAGATTTTCTATTTCTGAGTTGTTTGAGCAGAGAAGTGCTATATAAAGTAAGTACATTAAATTCGATTGATGGCATCAGGTACTGTGACAAACTTTGAATTTTAATTTCATTGAGTTATTTCACAAAATTATTTACAAAATGTGTCATTTATCTTTACTAGGCTATTTTTTTCTTTATCCATTGCCTAAAACTCTGAATAAGATACGTTTACAGCATATTCAAAAAGCAAATAGACATAGATCTGAGGTGCGACACTGTTGAAAAAAAAATAGTTTCAAAAATTGCTATTTGCTGTACCATGTGATTATACAGATTAGAATAACATTTTATGTGTAATTAATTGACTTTGATAGATATTTGGAAGATTTCAGAAAAACTTAGTGTATCTGACATTGCATTAACCTGACAGTGCCAGACAATTATCCCTCTTGTTTCAGAGCCAATTTAGACTGAATGTGTAATTAGTAAACTAGACTGCAGTGACATTCAAACTTGTCCATATGATCAATGAGAATGACCTGTCAAATATTGTGCTTTTAGCAGATGATTAGCCAATATCAAAAAGAATACAGCATTAAATGTAAAATTTTCTTCTTTTGTTTCCACATCTTTACTTTGACCATGTAAATATGCCTACTCTAGACCAGAGGGAGAAACTGTTTTATAACAAATAAATACAAAATTTTCTAATTGCAGCATCAACGGTGGATGGGATTTCTCAGCGTGTCGTCAAAAACAGGAAGAAAACATTTCTATTATGATTTGTTTAGGACCAAATGATTGCTTGGAGGATGCAAATCAATAATACATAATATGTTTTTAATTTAGACATTCTCAAGCGTCAAATAATGAAAAACAAAAGTGAAATGTATCTTATGAACCCCCACATCAAAACCCAACATGACTGTCTATCATGTAAAACCACAGCAAAAAGACTTGCAAAAGTGTCAAACTACATTGCACTTGAATAAAAATAAAATTCAGAAAAAGGCATTTCAATTAGCTTCTTTAGCTGTAGTAAATCTGGCTAGCAGGCATATCTATTAGCAGTTTTCAAACTTGGAGCATAACGAGCATAAGTAGACACTAACACTTGTTTCTGGTTTTCTGCTATTCACTTGTGCTGCCTGAAAATGAATCTTTTTTCTCCACTGCTCTTCTCATTTGAACAGTTTCAGCTTAACGATCATCTTTCTAGCTGTTAGTGTTTATTAGCTCTACATCACAGTTAATTAGTTTGTGTTACCTTGCCAATACTTGACAGCAAAATCTCTTCTGAGTACTACTAAAGGCTCAAGTACCATCAGTGGTATTTATCTCACAGTTGGAAAACCATGGCTATGGACCACAAAGGTAACAAAACTGTATAGAACTGTGAAGACTCCTTATGCACACAGGCCTGCAGCATCTCCTTGGTGTGGCTCAGGCCTCTGTGTGTAGGCCTGAAGTAGCAAACCCAGTTCACTGCATTTGCTACATCAGCACCACAAGCTAATGAAATTAGCACAATAGTGATACTGAATTTCTTTGGACCATGAATTATATAACTTTAATCAAATGAGGTTAATGTAAGCATTGGCCAACAACTGACCTTTATGGAAAACAAATGGTTCACGCAATGGTTGCACAATGACAGTCGTTCACAAGCACATAGACCAATTACCTGAAGATGAAGGAGTCTGTGTACTCCATATAGAAAGTAACAATAATCACTTATAATAATGTTATTAGACCAACCACACAGTTTACCTTTTTGCTGCCTGAGACAGCAGACAGATATATTTGTACCATAGTGTGGCTGAAAAGGAGATTCTCGTCTGATGTGACTACACCTTCTTAATGGATGTGACTCAGAGGTTTATGAATAAAAAAGGGGATTTACTTGGGAACTTACTTGCACACATTTTATCATTTTTCATTCTGTCTTGACCACATTTTTTTAACATTAGCTAGTGAGCCAGCAATATATTTTTTAGCATGATAATTTATGTTTTTTTGGAAAGATTTCTGTTTGTGCTTTTTGAGGTTGTTTTATTTTTTTTATTTTATTTATTTATTTTTTTTTTATCCAGAGCTGGGCAGCAATCAAAGTGTATGTTATCCCATCAGAAGCAAACAAATAAATTATTGAATTAAGTAGCTGAAGTTAAATAAGGAACGTTTCACAGCAGTGTATTAAAAGGCTTTTTTCTTGTCCATAACTCCACTGCCATATTTCCAATGTATTTTCAAAATGCGCAATACCCAGCAATATTACCTTTTGTCTTAAAATGCAGTTTAATGTACTAAATTAACTGCTTCTAGTTAGCTTCCCTGTACTTCCCTGTAAAAAAATATTAAAATAGCACGGTCTCTGCCTGCTTTCTGTCCTCTAAACCCCAGTTGATTATGGCAGATAGTCTTTTACACTCAGCCTGGTTCTGTTGTAGGATTTTTCTTATTAAGATCTCTTCATGGTCACGACATGTTTCCTCAGAATGTGGAATTAATACCAAGGCAATGACATGCAATCTGCTGCGAGACACAAAACTTTTCATTAATTAACATAATTAACTAAATTTGATTGCAGTGTATTAAAAAAATTGTATTTTAATTGGTCTGTGTGTAACTGTATTTCAATCTGCCAAAATTATAAAATTGCACTGGATTGATTCCATTATGCATTTCTGGATAATTGGATTTGAATTGGACCTGTTTTTTCTTCTGACATGCCTTGAGGTGACATTTGTTGTGAACTGGTGCTGTGTTAATAAACTAAATTGAACTGACTAATTACATAAAGATCACTATGTGGTCTAACTCCCTTTCCTAATTGGAATAAAATGTAATTTTGTGATTGAATCTGCCCTTATTTTTATTTATTTATTTAATTTTTTCCAATAGGTTTTTAATTTATAAATCTTACATTTTTAGGAATTGTTGTGTTTAGCAGATGTGTTTTAATCATGAAAGGGTAAAATAATATAAGTTGCATCTCAATAAAATTTTTTAGAGGATATTTCTATAGAGACAGATTTTTTTTAAAAATCAGGCTTTAGGGAGTATCCTTTTTAAAAATGTGCATGAAAGGCCCATTTTTTTTATTTGTAAGAGGCATCTCAGAGCCCTCTGCTGGCCAGCTGCCCATGATACTTATGTTCTCTGACATTAGGCACAGCAAAATAAACTGTCTGATGTAAAATCCATCAAGTTAATTTCCTTGGAATTTACAGTCTAAGCCTTTAGGCAGTTCTTTTGAACTTCATCTTCATGCAGCCTGTTCTTGAGTTGTGGTGGGAGTCGATCGCACACAGCATCATATCTTTACTGATACACATGTGGCCCAAGGCAAGCTGTTTTGCATCGCTTTAAGAGCCTGTCACTTCAAAACAATGCATTAGCTGACATTAGTTCCTGTCTTGAGATGTAATGTCATTAATCTTTTAATTTGACAGTTTATGTATTTCAGCTCATTTTGAGACTTTGCGGACTGATGATTTTTATTTCTTTTTTCTTTTTTTTTTTAGTAGAAGTGCTGCCAGTATGCTGATGTGACCTAGATCAAGCCATCATCCCAAGACGAGGAGTGGGAATTCAACCAAGCACCAATCATCAGTTTCAGGTATGCTCAGAATGGGGTCACATCACTGACAGAACTGTTTGTAACAATTTCTCAGTCAGAACTGTATTTTGGAATATTTTGGAGTCATGAATTGTATGAGGAATGTCATTCCTGTAAAATATGTTTTTTTTTTCCTCTAAAAAAATTAACTGTAGCCACTATGACTACATCACTACAAATATTCTCTCTGTTTCTAATTTCCTATAACATCCAGTGAAAGTGCTCACCTGAGGAAGTCTTCTCTTCTTCACTTTATGGGCTTTCCTGGTTTCCTGATGAATTCCCTGCTGTGCCTTACAACTTAAGCAGCAATGAGATTTGTGGGGGTTTTGAAGATAAATTAAGTGTAACGACAGGTTTCTCCTACTCTAAGTTAAAGAAGTTGAAGCAAACTAAACAAACACCCCAGATATGCACAACGTACACACGGAGGAGAGAGGATTTGAGATGAGAGCTCTGTGTGCCTCCTCCCAGGTGTGGGTGGGATGTTCTCCTAGTTAAGGAACTTCAAACCATTTTGCATCATGGAATCCTATTAAATCAAGGACTTCTGCAAAACACAAACTCTGAAGACCATTTGATTGACTCAATTTGAAAACCTTTTATCCTTTTTACAACTATTTCTCGATGCAAGTCAACAACTTTTACGCAATTGCTCAAGGTAGCTATTAAATTTTTATGAGTAGTGCTGAATATTTTCCAGAACATTTATATAACCGTGTAATAAACATTCAGATCTTTAATTCCCGGTCATTATATGTCTCTACTGTTGCAACTTGTCTTGAAAGAGGAGGAATCTGTGCACTCACTGTTTAATTGGCTGGCTGGCTTTACAGGTGTCCTGCATAAAGCCTCGTTGATCACAGCAGGTGTCTGCGTCGCAGGAGTAGGAGCTAACTTTAGCAAATCCTCTCAGTGTGTTTCTCAATGACAGCACATGTTGGACAGTCTGCAGAGAAACTCACAGATGCAGAGTGTCCCATGTGCACATAGCACAGACCCACACGCTATCTACTGTGGCAGGTGAATTTTCACCTGGCACGCTGTGTGCTGCCGAGCACGTGTACATGTGCAGAGCTTAAACCTGGAGGCAAATGGGGGGATTTTCCTTTTTCAGTGTATTCTCGTTGATGAGCTACTCGAATGCAACAAACTGCTGAATGAATGTGATATTCAAAGTGAATTATGTAGATTCAAAAGCCAGATAAGAGAGCAAATTTGAGAAAAATGGCAGTTGACTTTGCAGACCAAGTTTTTATGCTTCTTGAAAAATGTTTATCTCTAGACACTCAGAGGTAAGAGGCCCGGGGCTGGCGAAGATGCAGTGACTTGTTAAGAAGGACTTTAGCACTTAGAGATCTTCTCTATAACAGCCAGACAAGCACTTGGTTCCTCTTTAGCAAAAGATAAATTGGGGTAGCAGCTGACTGCAGATAACTTTTGGTTTTATGACACAGCAGAGTCAGAAAAACATACACCCCCTGGATATTATAGGAAAAATAAATTCTTCATAGAGTTGTTCCCTCCAAAGGTGAAAAGGCCATCAGTTAATATATATCTTAGGTGCTGTCAGGTAAAGAGCATGAAGACAACTTTGTTGAAAATACACGTGACACACAAAGATGCCTAAAAATCAGCAGCTGTTGTGTAAAGTATTGACTTTAGCAGCTGTGATAGACTTGCGACCTGTCCAAGGTGTACTCCAGCCTCTCGCCCAATGACTGCTGGAGATAACCCCTCCTGACCCCCTCCCCCTCCTGCAGCCCTGAAAGCATAAGCGGGTTTAGATAACGGATGAATGACTGGATGACCTTAGCTGGTTTCAGCACGCTAATTTGCCAAAGCATCATTGCACCTTGGATTCTTTGTGACAGACTGACACCAAGTAATACATAATTGTGAAAGATAAGAGAGAGTAATCTATGGTTTAATTTTTATAACTAAATGTCTGATGATTGTGGTTTGCATATGAATGCAGCTACTGATTTAATTC